ATTTGGCCCCCGTTGCCTAAGGGCCATCCGTCGAGTGAAGTATACCGATTTCGTCTCAAATGAGACAATCTATAGTCGTTGCGAGAGTATCGCGACGATATCGAAGACCATCCAAAAAAGAACACCCAGGTGGTTTGGGCGCGTTCTCCATCGTCCATCTCACTAGCTTTACTACGCGCCTAGGTGGGCAACTCAAAGCTTGGCTAGACACCGTTCACCAAGTCATGGAAACGGTTCTTGGACCTTCGATTTCTGGTCGCCGTCGCTGGAGAAGAGAATGGGTGGAGCTCTCCATATCCGCTGCCGCCAATCGTCACGCGTGGAGAGGTACCGTCCGTGATATTAAGGCCGGCTAGCTCAGGTACGGTCACAGCCAAAAAGTACAAGTAAACCTTCAGTTGCCTAGGAGACTTCACTAGCCAAAATGTACAGTTTTGTGTGTGTTTAACATGCATTCACGCTTTGCATTTCCCTGTGCTCCTCGACTGCTTTCCCTAATGCATCCATTCCTTATTATCCTTGAAAATTCAAAGGCATTTTCTTCCGGCCCTGTTTTACGACAGCGATAATTAGTTTTTAAAATGCATATCCTTTCGATATATGTGCTCTCAGTCAGTTATCTTTAACATTTTCACAGAGTCTCCAATTTATCCAGGACCCAGGGTACTAAATCAGCACCTCTCTGTTAGCTCAAGTCATCTTATTTATTCGTTGGAGCAAAGCATAGCGGCCGAAGTTCGATCCCAACTTACGGACCCGCCAGAAGCGACCGACCAGCCATCGTTTTCGGATTATGCCAACCTTCCAGTGACTTCACCTTCCCTCCGAGCGCCCTACACCAACAACCTCAGCGCTTTCCAGCTACGGAAGCCGACCCCCGTGGAGTTCTCCAGTTCCCCATTCTCTAGCAGGAACTCTACCTGCCCTCCCACACCCCGATCACTCTCACCTTCCATCAGTCATTCCGGAGAGCCCCCTGTTTTCGTGTCTGTTCTTGCCAACAAACGTTGCAGGCGACATTTAGGCGAGCACACAGGCTGTTGGGGTACCCTGTATTCTGCCAGAGACGATGTAACGTTCTACGTTGAGACAGACAACGCTGAAGAAGTTGGTGTGGAATTGGAAATCTACGTGGAAGTCCCACAAACCAAGGAAAATATGACTTCACGTAAGCATTTAATCCCTCGAATTCAAAATTTGTTGCTGCTCTGTGCTGTAAAGGCGAGCGTTGTTTCGCCTACATTTATTCCTGGTTCTGTTTATGAAAAAAAGGAAATAGGGCTCGAATCCTGATCTGGCTTTGGCAAGGCAATCGTTTACGAATTGTGCAGAAATTTATTAGAAAGCCCTCTTTGGTCGTTATTTCCATTTCAATTCAAATTTCTGGACGATTGTTATTCCGACTAGAATCCTCTAAATACTATTGTCAATCCCAATTTTTATGCTGTCCGATCGGTTAATGATCCTAGGAACTATCGGTGGGCCTGACGTTTTTAATAACAGAAAATCGTAACATGTAAGCCTGATGGCCTAAATGAAAAGTCCGACTGCTTTATTCAGTCACGAATTATTTACTGATGTTTATTTGACATACTTTCCAAAAATTCGGGCAACCTTCTTCTTTAACGTGTCTCATCATTAGATATGCCAACTTGTGGACAGTTTCATCAATCTTGCTTTGCTCCAACCTTTACCACAATCTGTATCAGATGTCGAGTAACATCCTTGAACGCTTTATTCACATTTACTGGAGTTTGATAGTGATCGTTCACTTAGTGTGTCTACACTGATTACTTAGATTTTTGGCCGTTTGATGCAAGATAACCAAATCATTTCACAGGTCCCTTTCCAAGACATCCCCCCCGACTGTCCTCTACCAATTTCCAAACGTTCTTGCGAAGCAGTTCTATTGGTCTATGCGGGTATGCCTCACTGATCATAGGTGACCCTTGTCTTTGGTATCAGTTCCTATGATGCAAAAATATCGTCTGTCATCTTCCACATAGATATTTATTTTGGCCTTCGGAGAAACCGGCATGCCACATCCAGTGATGTTTTAAAAGTAGACTGAAAACTGCCCGATATGAATTTCAGTAAACTTGTTGTCCTCAACAGCCACGAAGGCAGCGTAAGTGCCATACTTGTCTATACATAGAACGCTATGCACATTAGAAGTATACAGTCTGGGACCCTTTGTATCCAACTACTACTAGACATGATATTTAGTAACTGTTACAGTTTTTCATATCTCTTCTGTTATAGCGTGTGAATAATATTTTCCCTCACACAATTGCCCACTTTTATGTCTGTCCAGTCTCTGGATCCCACGTGTTATTTTGCCAGAAGTCGGGCGGCAGCTTTACCTTGCTGATTCAGAATTTAATATCGAATTGTTTCAGTGAATTGAAGCCCAATATATTCCAGCTAGCTTCCGTTCAAGTTGTATTTAAAAAAGCCATTTCGAGTTTGACTTATACCAAATAAGTATTGTTACCTGGAATAGAAGTTTGAAATACACTTGAGCACCAAGTTTCGTTCTTATTACTACCTACTCCACAAAGTGGTCTGCTCCATTTTATTTGGATAATTTCTATATTTTGTTCCATTTTGTAGAGATATTTTTTGATCCACGTTAAACAAGTTTCAAAATTCCATATTTAAGCCGAAGAGTCAAATCTTCCACCAGTCAAGTTTTTGGGCTCCGCCTTCTTCGGTCCTTTCACTGAGAATTGGGGTCAGAAGGGTGCCCAGCTTCTGAGCCGTCGACGCACGCTAATGGGCGACGTCCGAAGTAAGTTTCCGGTCGGTCGTGCCTACCTTGTGCATGTTAATTCTGCCTACTAACTCCGTCTCCCACTTTGAAGTAACTGCAGTGCTTTTTGTCATCTACGTGGATATAAACAATATATTTGTAGTTGAACCCCCAGTACAGGCGCACTGATAATTTGCACCTGTTTGCGCACCACGAATCTGTGTACATAAAACGAACAGCTTAGAAGTGACCACTGGCTCAAATGTCTAGCCTCCGAATTAAGCGCTTCCTTAGAACTCTAAACTGGCTGCAAGATACCACACCTGAAGAATTTCTTCCCCTGCGAATGGCTTACTTCAAATTCATGTTACAAATAAAAAGAACAAACCTCATATAGGACGTCTTCTATTGGCCGAACAAATCTGTAAAACGCATGCACTTACTGCATTCAGCATGCCCTACTCTAACGCCTATGGTATAGGAAACTCGCACACAGTAGGTGATTTAAATCAAGAAACAAGATGTAACAGATGTAAACTCCGCCGTATCCTAGACTGTGTAAATTTTGCTCGTTAGTTTAACGTTTTGGGCATCCCAAACATTGTATTATAAAGAGGTGGTATCCTTGTGGAAAGAAATAACTCTTATTACGTGAACGTTTCAAGGTTGGTTTCTAGGCTCGTCGTCAGACTTGTGGGTGGTGTGCAAAGACAACTGACTGGTTGACCGTGCGTAATGAATGAGCATGTGATCGACTGAAGTTGGCCCTAGCACATAAATTGCATAACTTCATCCCGTCGGGAATGGCTGCGTTCGTTTCTCTTTGTCCTTGAGGGTTTTGTATGCGGCATTAAATGGGCTTGCCTATTGACACATACCCTGCCTGAGTTGATTGCCTCCAAGAATGCAGGTTCTCTTGCATGCAACTTTTAGCCCAGTGTTCGCTATGCGCATGGCCACCTGAAATAGATGGTGTCGCCTACTTACCGCTAACTTCTGTTCATGTATGCGGGTTGAAGCAGATTTTCCAGTTCGGCCACAATAGGTGGCACCACAATTGCTTCCTGGGATTCTGTAAACAACACCATCGAAGCAGACATCCCTATAGTATAGGTTGTGTGCGTGCTACTTATATATTTGTTTTCTCATCTACCTTTCGACAAGTTCGGACAACTCTTTCACCTATAGAGAGTTTGTCAAGTAGCTGCTTTTGGCGTCTGAGTGGCCATAGCGTTGAAAAATAAAGATGTCAGTCCACAGTGGAGGCTATTACTAGGAATGACTAAAAAAATCGAGGCAAGTCTGAAATTTTAATTGTTTCGCATATTTGCTTCACGCCTGCAGACGACCTAAGGAACCAGCGTCGGAAATCTGCACACTAAAGTTCGTTACCCTTTCTCAAAGAACTTTCCTTCGAAACACATTGTATTTCCTATAAAATGAAACGTCAACCTAGATCCTGAGGCGCGTTTTATATCCGAACAAATCACTACATTAAGGTGGTCATATTGATTATTGTGCAGCCTAATCTCAAGGTATTTCACTCACATCAGAATGCTGGCTTTTGAACGCGTTCCTTCCTAATCACCTGAAAAAGAATATTCGGTGAAAGATAGCTCTTCAAGTAGTATACATTTTCCCATTGATTTTCGATATTCCTATAAATTCAAATATATTTAATAGGAAACGTGCAAGAAAATATTATTGTATTCCCTTGGTAGCAAACTATGCTTTCAATTTTTATACTTGGAAGGTATCTTTGGGTTTTAAGAAAGTTTGTGATTATGAGGGGTTTTAAGACCGTGAAATTTTCATTCATAACGAATCGTATCTCTCAATTTATCAATGTTGCCTATAACTTATGCAATATGATCTACATCCATTAAAAACTACAATGAGCACTATGTGACTTTTTCCACAGCGCGCAAACAACTGAGTTAATTTATTTAGGCAGAATACATACAACATGTATTTTAGAAACATTAAATACCAGCAGACTTCAAAATTACCTCGCAATTTAAAACTTTCTGAAAAGTGAAAGGTACTCATTCTTCGAGTATAAAATTTGAAAAGAGTGCAATGAAATATTTTGTGCATGTTTTCTATACAATATATTGGAATTTATAAGGGCATCGAAAATCAGTGATAACAATGCATACTACTTAAGTAGCCCTTTTTTACGGAGTAGGCCTTATGCAAGCCGTCATGAAGAACTTTCACCAAAACCGTTGTCCTGACGTGATTGAAGTATTGTGCGATTAGACTGCACGATAATCAATGGTACAACCAATCAAATCGAAAATACATTGCAGAATTTCGGTTGACATTTCACGAGACAAGAAATCTACTGCATATCTTAACTACATATCATTTACTCATAGAATTTTTTAAATTTCACAATAAAATCCCTGTTACGCAAAATCCACCCACGTTGCGTCCCCGAAAATTTTATAGCAGTAAAAAGCAAGCATTCTTAGAACAAAGCCCAGTTAGGTTTGTAAATTAGTGTTTACTAGCATAAAATTAATTAAGTTTCAGAAGACTAGTTTGGCGAGCGTACATATACTTCCGATAAATTCTCGTCGGGCCAGTACGTTCATATGAGAACGGGGTACAAATTATCGCAATTTATCAATTTATCGCAAGGATATATACTCCGAGGTCATGCATATTAGGAGTAACCATCTCATCTCTACCAAACGTCAGGTAGCCAGAAGCTACGCTAACGGGAAACCCACGGTGTTGGTGTGTCATAAAGGCCACATTAAGGGACTATTTCAGCCTCATTCTCAGTTCACTGGTATATCACTCTATAAAAACACACTGGGCTGACCGCGTGGTCCAAGTTAATTCTTCAATTGGCAATCCTCCAAGCCGCGGTTTTTAGCGCACCGTGGTAACTCCAAACGTGTGAGATAGTCTATAGTGAGTAAAATCCCCTGGGCCGCCGACGTCACTCCACTTTCCCAACCTTAGGTATCTGTTCACCGCCCCCAATCGCTCAATTTTCTGGTGCGGAGACTAGGTGCAGTGGCTGACATAGCCAATGAACTCATCTGCGCGTGCTACGTACATGACCTGGCCACCCAATCACGAACACCAGGTTTTCACACTAATATCGGTTAGCGACTATTATCTCACGTGTGTAAGAATGCTACAGGTTACGTGCAGAAGGAGCCATTGCAGCCTGACTCGGACCACATATCGGCCACTTATACAACCTTACACTCGGCTTATAGCGAGGTCTGGGTCCAATTGTCATTTGGCTGCTTTACAGGCCACGGCCACTTTTCTGTTTGACATCGAACATTTGAATAGCCTCCAATAGTGAACTCCTTGTCTTTTCACTTGCGTATTTGTGTTCCTTCCGAAATATTTTACCAATTAAAGCAATAGAGACCTCTAGACGACCGCTTCAACGAATTTATATTTGTTCAGCAGCCGCGAACGAGCTTTATTCATCTTATTCTCCCCGGACTCATTTACCATCGTTCTTCTTCATTCTTGTCTATCGTGTGTGGTTGATAGTCCTGTCTAGACTTTCCTGTGCTTGCGATCATGAGTAAGGTGCGATGGCGTTGTCGGATACCGTAGGTTATGTTACTTGTTTCAGAAACCTAGGCCTTCCTCTCAACATCAAGTCGACTTGATAGTTCATATCTGAAGGCATTTTGCGTATGCATAGCCATACCAAAATTACTTAAAGCCCGGTTTTGTTTGCCTCCTTTAGTCTCGTATATGGTAATAAACCCAATTAAGGATGGTCCGCCTCCCTCGCTACAAGTCAGCTACAAACATTACTGGCGAACAAGGGCCGCTTTGGAGATTGGACACCGCGGAATGGGCTCCTATTATGTGCATTCCGACGAGAAGAAGTTCGAAAAGTGAGTGATTTTCCTCTACATTTGCATGCTCTGGATTTCAGAAAGATTCTAGACAAAACCCATCGGCGAACAGAAACTCATGTTTACGTTCCCTTAAGGAGACCCCGTCCCTCCGAATGCTTTTTAAGATTTTTTTAAATTTTTTATCGTCATCCTGTTCGGAAGTTGTGTTTGGGTTGTGTACAAGGATGATTTTTAGCGAAAACAAACACATTGCCCAGAGGTCGCACCTATGCGCCGTGCCGTAGTTCGAAGTGATCGGAAGTAGTCGTTTCCGAGCTCTAATCTATCATCATACTATCTTGTATGAATCCTGGTGCTTGTGTTCGAGGTAAGGCCGCGTGTGGCACGCGCAGACGACTTCATTAGGTATGTCAGCCACTATGCCCAATCCCCACATTCAGCAATTGACCGGTTCGGACAGTGGCTGGAGCCCGGAATTAGCCCGGCTTAGCCTATAAACCATCTGGCACGCTGGAGGGAGGCTATGCGCTAAAAGCCGTGGTTTAAAGGGTTGCCAACTGACGGGATAATGTGAACTGCATAGTCAGCCCAGTGGCTGTTTGTGTGGAGTGGCCAATTGGTGGACTGAGATTCAGACTGAAATGGCTCCCTCTTTATGTCATCCTTATGGCACTCCCACGCAGTCGGAGCCGAGCTTAGTGTTGCAGTAGGTATGGGGGGCGACTCCGGTCGTACTAACCACCTGCGCCATAGCCCCCGCCGGTCTTCTTGACTGGGTCGTAATATCGGGACCAGCAGGGGGAGACGGAGAGAATGCGGTGGATGTAGCGCAATTCTACTCTCACGGGTATGTCTCCGTCTGTGCACCATCTTGGTGTGGTGCACACGGCGAACCTGTTCGCAATCTACGGTCGAGCTTTCAAATGAACTAGACTGCCCGATACACGAAACAATTTTGCCAGTTTTAGTATAATTTTAACCGAAGTTGTTTACAATTTGTTTGGCTGGTGTATAGTAATTTACTTGCTGCTGTAAGCCATTGATATTGATATTGGATTCGTTTAACCCATCGTTTGGTGTCGGGTGGTGCATAATAACTGGCGACGTAAGCTGTGCCACCTTCCCTCTGTCCGGTTGTTGTCCCCGACCGATCCTCACTTCGTGCTTCTATGAACATAGTAACGAATATGGAACTAAAAGGAGTGGGAGCGAGTACGCAGCCCTCTTCACTCCATTTGTTTTCGGGATTAGTTCCACGACTGACCCGTTGTCAGTGCACGCCGCGTGCTATAATCCAGGCGTGTATTTTCCTTATCACATGATTGAATCGTCCAGGTAATACGAATGCCGATTTGATTTTCCAGAGTCCAGCGCAGCTCACTGTGTCGAAAAGGTGATAGACTGGTTGGTCAGAATCTCCTAGTGCTTTCCTTCAACATGCCGGGATGCTGAGATCATAGTCTTGGCTTCTTGAAGCATCTTCTGCTCCAGTTGCGTGTTCAAGTTAGTAAGTTGGACTTGGACTAATTGCGCTAAAAGGAGGCACTTAAGAGGGTTTTTGAAAATTTTAAAATGCCTTTCGGCCGTGTTCAAGTTGAGTCTTTGAAGTCTTCTGAAATTTAACCTTCTCGCAATATCTGGTGCAGCTCTAAAATCTTGTTTGGAGAATGTTGGCTGTCACATTTATAATTTCCAATTGAACTTTGGTCGACGCTCGGTGCTTTTCTGCTGGACCGCTGTCACACTTTTGCTCAGTCCTTGAAGAGGAGGCACACGATTGAAGTTGACATTAATGCCCATTCGTAAGAGTTTCCTGTTGACTTCTTTGCTACCCTTTCATGCAGAACAGTCTAGTAATGTATCTGCAGCGAGGCATCGTCGACGGTGTATTATCTTGCAACGGCCACCCAGCCGCATCAACGAAACAGGCATGAGCGTATGGCTGCGACCTGGGTTGTCACCCACGACACCATGTACTTGACTTCTTACTTATCCGTTTAAACGCTTACGCAAGCTACGAAAGCTGGGGCGTTCGTATCTCTGATTTTACTGCGATGTGAATAGTTGCATGTTGTATTGAGAGTCTCATTTTAACCCCTCAAACAGGCTAAACAGTAACCCAATTTAATTTCTTGAAAGCCTGACTATGCCTAGCTAGGCTTTGTGTTTCATCACCGCATTTGTTCAATCACCTATCTGCCAACTTCTTTCCTAGACCAGCCCAGGTTAAAGAAAATACCCTACGTTCCTTCCAGTCAGCGGTTAATTATGTAAGTTTTGTACTTATGACTTGCTTTATTTGTTATGTTTGACCATACTGCATTTTTATTGGTGTATTGCTATTCGTACACTTGAGGCAACTTTTTCCTATGTGTGCCTGTGTCCGTATTGATTAAAGGCTAGATATGTCGGGTTTTCACATGGGCGGTGCACCACGTAGCAGCGCTTGATCACTCCACGAACGCGGCGATTGCTCTGCCGAGCGTCAACTTGACGTCCATCTCTCATCTGTGTCTCCACTCTCCATTGACCGATTCGTCTGACAAGTTAAAACAGATGTGGATAAACTTTTTTTTCGGGAACGACCGTCTCAAAAATGTGCTGAAGTTGACATCTTCATCAAAGCGACTTTTTCAAAAAGCTCTCTTTCTACAGGTAATCAACGACATTCCCATCCTAATGCAACTTCCACCCCCCACGCGAATGAGTTTGTCACAACCTCAACAAAGTCAATGTTCCGACATTGTCAAGGAGCAAATAGCAAGTTATACGGGATTCAGTATTGAAAGCCAGAAAATGAACTGTTCTCAACGACTAATAAGCAAACGTAGTTACTTCTCAAGTTACTTGTGCTCGATGCTTGGCTATCACGGAGTTCAAGTATGCTGAATTAATGTTCCTCCTCCCTGAACATCGGCCTAACTGACAACGTCGTGGTAACCAGCATCGTATTTTTCCATAAAAATACACCCTTAAACAGGCCAAATGCTACAACCGGGAAGCGCATATTCGTCGGGGGAACGAGACTGCCTTGACGTATCAATGACGCCCACGGTGTGATGGTGAATTCTGGGATGGTCACTACCTGTCGTTTCGAAGACAAGACAGCAAACCCAGCCACGAAGACGACCTTAGCGGAAGCCAGCAATAAGGAGGCTGAACCCTGCGATAGTGAGCCACGCCGAATGCGGGCAGAATATTACGAGCAGGGAAAGTGCAAATCTGAGCCTAGACATACGTAGTCTTCAGGTCTCCACGCTAGCAATACCAGAACTACTTCGATAACGACATGAAAATCCATCATGTGCTCTCTAAGAAGAATCAACTTCCCTTAACAAACGCAAACAGCTCTGTGGCAGTAAACTAGGCACAGTTCTTTCGGTTCTTATTCTAGTTGCGGGAGATATAAGCCAATCGGACGGTAAGAAAGACTGAACTCATTCTAGTTCGTGGTTCTTAGTGAAATGCCGAACTTCTCGGCCATCCAGACAGTTGACGAACTCTAACCTACCGTAAATGTTCCTCCAATCAGCTTCGACGGAAGAACCATGTTAGTAGAGAAATCTCTGATATGAAAGCGGTGGACCGAGCACTCGAGTTGCGTCACCATTCGTTCATACCCAGTCTGCAAGGAAGCAAATGACAGACATCCATACCGTCATCATTATCGTCGTTGCCAATTCGTTATTGCAGTACTGCTATTAGAATGTGCGCTCATATCTGCCATTCACCTGACTCCACATCCAAGACAGGACCCTCCAGAACTACACTGTGGTTTCTGGGAACATACTGAAACAGCCGACACACTCTTTTTCACACAATATCTTTAGGATAGTACCACTAAATAAAAACCGGTCTCCTCAGGTTTTTATGGTCTCACAAATGTCTACCAAGTCATGAACTGAAACGGACTCTAGGAAACTCCAATGAAATTTCAATGCCACGAAAGCTTTTATCTGTTGGCCTAGCAAATTCATGACGGCACGATGACACGTGTCATGGACAATAGACCAGTCTCAGGATCATGACAACGACAAATAGGCTCAAGGGGTTTGCGTACCTACCATTCTCATATTCCCCGCAAAAGCGGGGAAAAGCCACAGGGAATTACCGCCAAAAGTCGAACAGACGGAGACATGTTCAGCACTCGCCGAACGCGCGCCGTCTCAAAGACACTTAAAAGACCAGGAAAAGCAAGCACTTCGCCGACGATCGCAAACTAAACATCACAACTGAGGCGGGCCTAAAATGAGACTTGGATATCGTCGCCAAAGTAGGTGATCGGAAGAACCACCAACTGGTACTAATCTTGAGGTATACTTAATTCTAGGTCTTTGCTATTGACAGTTGCCTCACTTCTGGGTATATTTCCTTATCTGGGCAGTGGCATCTTAAAAAGTCAAAATCGGCTGCGCATTTGCAGTTCGGTTCCCCAAGATTGGGCCTCTATCATCTGTGTGAGACCACAGGAACATCCTCTAAAACACCAGCCTGAGGATGTCCAGGGCTGTAGTCCTGCAAAGATCGTTTACGGCGTCGCGGACACTCAATGAGTCCATGTGAGGAATTTGAACCATTTCCACTTCAGCTGTTTCTGGAGGAAGCGGAGGCCGAAGTGACACGGACGAATTCCATGCACTCAGATACTGTAGTCGGCAGGCATATGCGGCTCTGCTTAATTTCTAAACCTGATCCATATGCTGCATTGTGCGTGTGTCTGTGTCTAACCATTTGCTTGCACATATTTTTTGAACATTCAAAAAGAGATGTTCTATCTTTCCCTCTTAAAAACACAGGGCGCGGACTTCGTAGAAATGGATGTCCAACTGACAAAGGACTTCCAAGTGGTTGTTTACCATGATTTTGAAACCGTAATTACGCCGCGAAAGGTAAGTAATTTTAGTTCTTCCACTTATCTCCATTTTTTATTTGAATAAGTTTTAATGATAGAAGGTGCCTCTAGGACCAAAGATGCCCTGTTTGTCGCGGAGAGAAAAGCTCGCCTTTTCCACCCGACGTCATCCATGCACTGGCCTTATCTCCTATGTTTCTTCTGGGATTTTTTGCTGTCAGTTTTGCGATCTGTTGCATGCCCTTTTAGAAGCGTCGAGGCGAACTTCAAAACCTGTCCGTTGCAGTGAAGGATCTCCCGTATTCTGCTCTCCGCGAACTTCGACTCCAGCATGCTAGTGTCCTGGAAAAACAGCAGACGTACGAAGGTTCGCCCTGTCTGTCACACATTTGTGTCAATTTACTCTGTGAATTTGCCTGCATTTAAAAACTTTTCTTTTACTTAGAACTGGATGTTGATGATCTTGACCCATTCGAACTGCAAATGTTCCCTCTCCTGCGGGACTGCCTTCAGTACGTGGATCCAGACGTTGGCTTCGATATCGAAATCAAGTATCCACTGGAGCTCAAGGTGAGGAACCTTGTATTTCTTCT